TTCTATTGTTCAGCCTGAAGATAAGGATCGAGAGCTGGGTCTCTCTGCCTTGTGTCTGTTTATTGAATTTTACCCAGCACACCCAGTCTGGGTTTCGTTGTCTTAGTGATTTCTATAGCTGGGAAAGCAATCATATACATTTTGTTAAAGTAGAGGTACAAGGAAAAAGCCAAGACAATCATGGAATATTCCTCAACCATGAAAAAGAATGAAATCTTGCCATTTGCAACGATGTGGATGGAGCTAGAGGGTGTGATGCTAAGCGAAGTAAGTCAGTCAGAGAAAGACAAATACCATATGATTTCACTCATATGTGGAGTTTAAGAAATGAAACAGATGAACATAGGGAGAAAAAGAGAGAGGCAAATGGTAGAACAGACTCTTGCTATGAAGAACAAACTGCGGGTTGCTGGGGGGGGACGGGCTGGATGGGGGATGGGCATTAAGGAGGGCACTTGTGATGAGCGCCAGCTGTTGTATGTAAGTGATGAATCACTAAATTCTAATCCTGAAACCAATATTATATTATATGTTAACTAACTGGAATTTAAATAAAAACTTGAAACAAAAAAATAAATTACACTAAAAAAAGTAAAATAGAATGTGAGGGTGATCTGACTAGGACATCTGTCACCCCACTGATTGCCAGCATTGATTGGGCTGATCTGGCTGGCCAGGCGGGTGTCCCCTTCCTCTCTCCCTGCTCCATGTGCGTCCCTCCCAAAGCTGCTCGCTCAGTGGAAAAGGATGACCCTCCCTGATAGAGGAGGACTGTTCTTCTGTCAAGGGTAGCTGCGCTATTTATTCAAGGTCCTCCAAACAAACTCAAGGTCCATTTGTAGGAGAACATAGGGTAGTCAAGTTTCCAAGACTCCAGACACATCTAAATGAGGTGCTGCATGTGGCAATCTGCCTTTCTTTAATAAATAAAATAAAATAAAATAAAATAAAATAAAATAAAATAAAATAAAATAAAAAAGTAAGTAGAGGGAGATTGTCTCAGTGCCAGGTGCTGCCCCAGGAAGTCATGAGACTCCATCCCAGGGTAGGAGTTCAGCAAAAGCTGGAAAAGTCATCTGCCAGGAAAGCCTTAGAAGGGACATTTGCCTTCCATAGAAAAGGGACATGGTTACTACTTCCATGTTCACTCTCAACTTTGAACTGCATGCAATTGCATGACTCTATGAGAATTAAAGTAATATCACATCATTAAAACGTTAATTTGTACCTTTGTGCCTGTCCCACAATTGAATTTTCAGGAAGCTGATTACATTTCTTTCTATGGATTCAGGAAACCATTATTCCCCGTGATCTAATTTATTGAGCATATTTTGGCCCTTACAGCTTGCCCATCAGTCATCCCTAAACACACTTAGTACAGATGATTAAGATGTTTAGTGTTGATGAACATCACTTCCTAGAGGAAGAGCACTGCTAGTATTGTATAGGGAAACAACCAGCAGGTTTTCAGGACCTGAACCTGCGATCCTCTGCTGGGGAAAATCAGATCTCATCAGAAGTGTTTTACCTGCTGTTAATATATAAATATTGGTGTTAAGATGAATTTTAGTGTTAATATGAATGTTGGGGTCAATATTTTTCTTACTGATTTCTTAGTTCCTCCTAACTTTTAAACTTAAAAGAATCTTTGGAACTAAATAAGCTGAAAATATCGTTTAAAAATAAGAAACACATTTAGATTCTGGTGCACAGCAAATTCTCTGTGAAGAAAAGTTCCAAATTTGTGATTCTATTTGCATTTCCATAAACACAGTGAATCTTTGTCTGAGCTTATTATGTGACAAATAACAGTGTTAGAAATGGGATGTTTTAAGACTCTAATTATGCATATGCTCTCATTCTTGTTAGTGCATTTACAACGCAAAGCAATACAAAATTTGTACTTTTGGCTCAAGAGCTTCTTTCTTAAAATTGACAATTTAATGATTTTTTAACTAACGTTGGCCTCATTTAATGTAATTAAAATATTAAAACTAAAAAAAAAAAAAAAAAAAGCAAAGTTGCCACTGCTCCCTGGGAACAGATCTGAGATGGAAAGGAGCATGCACCATGTCTGTGAGGGCGCGCTCTCAGGACAGCCACCTGTGAGGGGGAGGGAAGAACTGAGCCAGAAGCAGGATCAGTGATCAGAGAGTTTGGGAGCCAGGCCCCAAGTTCTCACACTCCCATAGGGGTCCCAGGTCCCAGGTACGCTTGGGAAGTTGAGGAAGGGCCAGAGACTTCCAGAACTGTAAAGGCCGTACAGTCAAGGACCACAGATGAGTTAGGGGTAACTGGTGTGAATGGAAGTCCTTCACCCTGAAGAGGAGTCAGGCAGCCCACACATACATTTGGGGCTCACCATAACCATGTTCCCTCCTCTCTGACTTGGTTAGCTAAAATTACTTAAATTTAAATAAAAGTAAACCTTTAGTAGCTCAGGTGTGCTAACAGATGTTTGGGAACCCCATGTTAGACTGCACAGAGCATTTCCATCATTGCAGAAAGTTCCAGTGGACAGTGTTGCTCCACTCAGCAGTGCAGCCATGTGTCCCAGAGGTCCTAATGCCTCCCTGAGACACTGCAGGAAGAAGGGGCCAGTTCTCATTACCCTAACATCAGCAACCTCACCCTCTGCTCCCCTCAACTGGACGTGTCCCTGTTTAGTCCCCTCAGTTGTATCTTTTCCTTCATGTTTGATATTAATATGGCTTAATAAAATAGAACTGGGCTCAGTAGCTACTAAACAGTGTTTCCATGTCCTCAAGGATAGGCCAGGAAGGTGGGGGAAATATTTGTATTCATCACACTAGTTCAGTTAAAGAAAAGGAGGAAAACTCAGTTAAGTTTTCATATTTAAGTAGTGTAAACACATACCTTACCAACATTAACATCTGAAAATATAACACCAATCATTAGCCAACAAGAAATTAATGGAACACAAAATTATGACATTAATATATTTTAAAGTGTAGCAAATAAAACACGTTAGAATCAACCTCCTCCAAAAAACAAAACAAAAAACCCATGTTTGATGATAATAGAATCTGCTTCATTGGGCAAACCTTTCCATGAGTCACCTCCTTTAGTTATTCAGTAAACATTGCACTGGTAGCTTTAGTTGCTGATTCTTCCACAGTATTCTTCTATAAGTTTTGTTCTGCAGACTCTTTTAAAACGCTTCTGAACAAACTCTTCCAGACTTGAAATGTAGTGTCCTGGTCCCTGCAGTATTCACTGCTCTTTCCTCCCAGGGTCTCAGCACAAGTCTGGCCATTGCACAAACCATGTGAGGTACTTACAGGTATTTTTCCCAGTCAAGTATTCAGTAGACACACTGAAAGGGTGGGGTTCCAGCAGATCTTTCCTTTCTGCGTCGTACAGGGGCCCTTCCATGAGGTCTAGGGGAAGGGAAGGGCAAACCCTATTGCATCTGCCTCTGCGTAGGAGCTGCATGAAATCACACCCACAGATGGATTGAATTGTTGTCAAATATAATAAATACACAACTGCACTGTCTAAAACACTGGTTCTATACCACAACATAGAAGGATTACCATCAAGGGATGGCTATCCATCAGGCATTCACCTCCCCAGATTTGATTCTACCGTCCCTCAGATTAGGATTCATTACTTTATTTCTTTGTTCACCATTCATTTCCTTAAACATTCATGTGACAAACAACGGGATAGGCTTTCTGGGGCTCTGAATGTTGGGACATACAACCAAGAATTGTTAGTCACATGGGAAACAGATTACCCCATCTAACAATTGGATTAAAGTGGACAGCGCTCTGATTCGGAGGTTTGGTAAAACTTGGATTGGAGAATCTAGCTTAAGATTGAGACTACCTTGGGGCTCCTGATTCCCTTCCCTGAGCCTGCAGATGGGGGTGGGGATGGTGCCCAGACCCTCAAAGTCCAAGTCTAGTCTGTTTCTTCATGGATCTGACCACTGCTGTGCAGTAAGTGAAGTCTCAGGCCCAAAAGAGAAAGGGCAGGGATGTCCCTCACCTGCAGAGGAGTGACCCTGCCCACCAGTGAGATGTGGCCAGTAAATGAAGTACTTCTTCCCCAAAGAAAAATGATTAGGGTGGAGAGGGGAATGTACACACTCCAGACATCTCTCTTCCCTGGAAACAAAAGGCAGGAGCCCCCATCTTGGTCAGTGGATGAAAACAAGGATGAAGTTTTAAAGAGGAGTTTTAAAATTCCTTCTCTCTGCCTACAAATAATCCTTGTCTCATAGGAATACTGAGAGTTAGGGGTTAAATAAAACAAGTGAACTGCCTCATATTGGCAGGCATATATGTCCAGCGTGGTGTCTGGGTCTAGTAAGTGGCCCCATGTTCTCTTCTGGCCCCACACTCTTGTACCTTTGAGCTTCCTAAGGGAAAGGTGCTGGGTGTGAATAATCTTTGCTGTATGTTTGTTGGATTAAATCAGTTTTATTTATTGAGAACTCAACATCCTTAGCACTGAGCTTATTTGGTTTAAAAGAAGTGGAAGAATTACAGAATTTTTCATACCAGAAGTGGCCTTCGAGCTCATATCTCATGGGGTGCAGTGTGCTGGGAAGGTTGGGATTTGGGCTTCCACCTTGGTGTGCTTCCTGCTGCAACACGCATGCGGAGCGGGGCAGCTCAGAGGCAATGTCTCCACCACATGTCTGTTCCCACCCCCCGCCCCCCAAGCAGTGTCTGGCATGTCGCTGGCTCTCAGAAAATATTTGTTACATGAATTAATTCACTGTATTCCCCTCGCTGGGCCTTTGGCAAATGAAGGATAGCTTGTGGCTTTGCAAGAGTATTGTGCCCAGATAGAATTTGTGATATAATTTTCTCATACCACATACAGGGGCTTATAGTTAGACTCTTTTATGGACTGTGTCGCAAAAATTAAAATGTTTTAGCTTCTTAAAAATATATAGATAGTGTATATTTTTGAGGATATATCAGAGAGTAATGTACCACTTAGTGCGTGTTGTATTTTGATTTCAGGTAGATGGAGTAATCACAGGTTGGAGACAAACATCAAAGCCTGGGGAAAGTACCTTGGACAGCAGCAGAGAGCACACAAACCAAAGGTACCACCTCTCCAGCTGTCTTGAGCTTTATTATAGTTCTCTTCATGGTCATTTGGTATCTAGAATGTACCTTCCCCAGAGATACAATTATTTAAAGTTTATAAATGATTCATGCTGTGAATGTTAATGTTTATTTCCAAAATGTAGACTCTCGATTTGTAGGGCTCTTGATCCATAAAAAACCAATCTGTGTATATACAGGCCCCAATTACTTGTGACAATAATGGTAAGAGTGGTGATGTCAGCACCAGTGACCACTAACATTGACTGAGCACTCACTTTGTATCAGGCACTGTCCTGTGTGCTTCACGCACTATTAACACACTTTGTCCTTCCCAATTTCATCCTCAGCTTACAGATGGGGCAAATGAGGGAGAGAAGTTTAGGATGTCTGAAGGTTGGGTAGCCGTGACCTGTTGGGACAGCTCTGCTGAGCCCTGTTCATAATGCTGCTCACGGCCCGTCTGTCACTTCATAGATCCTAAAACTCTCAGGGATGCAAGGGCCAAGGGGCCCCATCATGTACCCTCCTGTTAACCTCCTACTCACAGGTCATCTTCAAGCCTCTGCGTCAACCCCTCTCCCACCTGCTCCCTCCCTGCTCTCCATACTCCCCAGTGGCAGGAAGCCTCTCCTCCATTCCCCACTGAACATTCCAGCTCTGTAGCCTGAACACCCTCAGAACAAAGCCCAGCTCCTGTGAGCAGTGAAATCCCTTAAAGTATTCTGGACAGAGCTCTCCTCATTTCAGTTCTTCCTTAGAATGCACATCCCAGGCCTTTCGGCTTTCCTTCTGCTTGTCATGATTTCCAGACTCTTACCACCCAGATGGCAAAATCTATTTTGAACCCAGGCAAACTATCTTTGTGATACAAATGTATATGCTGAAATTATCATCACAAAAATACCTGAACAAGAGCTATATTTACGTCTTGCATAATACAAGCAGTCAGGCATTCCTATATTCTGAGTCAACTGTGGAAGTTTTGTGGATTTTCCATCCGGTTTTTTCTGAACAACAGGTGTGGAGTTGAATTCCTTCTGAAAGGTTTCTGTTTTTAACCTTGGAGATCCACTCTCATATTTCCTAGTTTAGTGGCCTCCATGTCAGATATATGTGGAACTTACAGAGATTCAAGGGCATTATGCTATTACGAATATCCATGGTCATAATTGACCCCCAGCAGCATCCACACATGTAAGGAGTGTGAATCCAGTTTGTGAGGGATTGCAGGAAGGGGAAGCCAAGTCATGGCAAACAGCATGGAGCTGGTTTTCAGACCCCGGGAAGATCACCATTATAGTGATTACTTCCTACGTTACATTTGCAAAGCCTCCCTTGTTCATTGGTATTGCTGAGAAATAATCACCTCCCAGCTATGCATAACATATCTATGTGAGGGTTGTTCCTGGCAGCACTCCTTAACCACTGACAAACTTCACCAACCACATCACCTCAGCCTCTGGCTGGGTGATCCCATGAACCAAACAGCTGCCTGTGGAAGCTGCACGTGGGAATGAGGTCAGGCAGCTGTGAGTTTGAGGGGGAGGAGGATGGCAGACCTAATGATAGACCTCTCATAGCCAGAGCGAGCCTTTGCTCTTGCTATGCAGACAAAGTGACTGGAGGGGGAAGATCAGTGGAGTAAGGTTCTGTTCACTGGGACCAGAGAGGATCATGTTTTGTGGGAAGGTAACCGATGCTGGGAACTCTTGTGGTTCCGTGACACTGTCTGATCAAGGAGGACACATAACTTGCTCAGAATGGTTTTACTGAGTGTGGAGTGCCTAGTCCTTGTTCCATGATACTCTCTGTCTCTCATCTTCAAAATTACTGTAAGAGAAATTGGGTTATTCCTAATGAACTGAGGTTCAAAGAGATTAATTTGCCCAAGATCACAGAGTTGCTAAGTGATAGTAGAGCCAGAATTATAAATCTTAGTCCATTCTTGGGCTTGCCTTCCTACTATATTCATGGTGTCTTTTTCTTTTTATAGACATTTTTCTTTAGAGCAGTCTTAGGTTCACAGAAAAATTGAGTGAAAAACACAGAGATTTCCCATAAGTCCACGGCCCCCACTCATGCACAGTCTTCCCCGCTGTCAACATCTACCACCAGAGTGGTACATTTGTTACAGCTGTTGAACCTACATGGACGCACATCATTATCACCCAAAATTCATAGTTTACATTAAGGTTTAAACTTAGTGTTGTTCATTCTGTGGGTTTTGACAAATATATAATGACAGGTATCTACTGTCATAATATCATACAGAGTAGTTGCACTGTCCTAAAAATGCCTGTACTTCACCCATTCATCCCTCTCTCCCCCACCCCCACCCCTGGCAACTATTAATCTTTTTACTGTCTCTCTAGTTTTACCTTTTCCAGAATGTCTTAGAGTTGGAATCATTTAGTATGTAGCCTTTTCAGACTGGCTTCTTCCACTTAGTAATATACATTCAAGGTTTCTCCATGTCTTTCCATGACTTGATAATGTATTTCTTTTTAGTGCTGAATAATATTCCATTATCTGGATGGACCACAATTTATTTATCCATTTGCCTACTGAAAGACATTTTGGTTGCTTCCAGTTTTGTGAAATTATGAATCAAGCTGCTATAAACACAGTGTGCAGGTTTTTGTGTGGACATAAATTCTCAACTCCTTTGGGTAAATACCGAGAAGTGCGATTGCTGGATTGTATGGTTAAGGGTATGTTTAGTTATGTAAGAAAACTGCCAAACTGTCTTCCAAAGTGGCTGTACCACTTTCCATCCCTGCTAGTAATGTATGAGAGTTCCTGTTGCTCCTCATTCTTGCCAGCATTTGGTGGTGTCAATGTTCTGGACTTTGGCCATTCTAATATGCATGTACTTGTATCTCCTTGTTGTTTTAATTTGCAATTCCCTGATGACATATGGTCTGGAGCATCTTTTCATTTGCTAATTTACCAGCTGTACATCTTTGCTGGTGAGGTGTCTGTGAAGGTCCTTGGCCCATCTTCCAATCACACTGTTTTCTTATTGTTATGTTTGAGTTCTTTGTATGTTTTGGATAACAGTCATTCATCAGATGTTTTTTGCAAATATTTTCTCCCAGTCTGTGGCTTGTCTTGTCATTCTCCCAAAATTGTCTTTCATGGAGCAGAAGTTTTTAATTTTAATGAAATCCAGCTTGTCAACTATTTCTTTCATGGATTGTGCCTTTGCTGTTGTACCTAAAGTGGTATCGCCATACCCAGGGTTGGTTAGCTCTTCTCCTGTGTTCTCTTCTAGGAGTTTGACAGTTTTGCATTTTGTGTTTAGGTCAGTGATCCATATTGAGTTAATTCTTGTGAAGGCTGCAAGGCTTATGTCTAGATTCATGTTAAATATACCCATGTTGTATTAATTTTTAGGTGTATGGTATTTTGATGCTATCATAAATGTGTTTTTATTGCTAGTATATAGATTTGCAATTGATTTTTTTATCGTGGTAAAATACATATAACATAAAATTCACTGTCTTAAGTATCTAAAAGTATACAACTCGGTGGCATCTATGGCAATAATTTACAACCATCACCATTATGTAAGTCACTTTTGTGTTTAATTTTGTACCTGGCAACTTCGCTGATCTCTCGTATGATTTTATTAATTTGTTGGTCCTTTTGGATTTTCTATATATCTACAGAGAATGATGACTTTCTTTCTTCCTAGTCTTGTATCTTTTATTTCTTTTTCATGCCTTAGTGTGTAGGGAAAGGCACCAGTACGATGTAGAATGGAGATGAATAGCAGGCATCTCTGCCTGATTGCCAGTCCCAGAAGAAAAGTTCAACGTTATGCTATTAAGTCTGAAACATCTTATTGGTTTCATAATTCATGCTTTCATATTCAAAATCTGAGGTTGTTTCTATTTGTGTTCTTACTGCTTCTGCTTGTTCTCATGCAAAGTGCCCCTTTTCCTTGGGTGTTCCTTATTTTGATGGCAAGCTGCTCCATTGCCTTAGGAAATAGTGTGGGGGCTTCTCAGAAGCCTGGGAGGGGCTGAGCCTAGGAAAAAAATTGGCATGTGCTTTGGGGCAGACCCTGCCTGAGGACACTGCCAGTTTGGAACCACTTCACTCTAAATTCAAGACTGATGGTTTCTAACCGTGGCTTTTCCAACACAGCCATTCTCTGTCCCACTCTTCTCACTGTCCCCAAGGTGGTGGGCGGAGTGGGTTTACTTTTCATTTACTCTTACGTGACAGAAGAGCCTTCTGGTAGGTAGGGTGTCCTGTCAGACTGCTCACCTGGCACACTCGGGGCCTTGACCTCTCTTCCCAGACTCCATAAGGCCAGCGAGACCAAAAAGCACCACTTTAGGGGATCGGCAAAGTCCCTCAGGGCAAAGGTGGCTTCAGGGATCCACTTCCTCCCTCCTTCCTCCTTTTCCCGAATTCTGCCCTTAGGGTTCCTTATTATCTTATCACATCTTTCCTGACCTCCCTAAAGTTTTTAGTGGGAGGCAGGAATCTTTGGTCCAAACATGCTAGCCTTCCGTATTATCAGAAGCAAGTTCTTTCCTTATGTTCTTTAATAAAAGGAATCAATCTCTGATGTGTTTGATGCCTAGTGATTTTAGACCTTTTCTTTTGCTTTCTTCCATGGTGATAAAAATATTCATTTTGCCTTCCAGTTATTCTTAATTAGACTCCAGAAGTTCTGGTGCCGACAGTCAGTGGGTAAAACTAAACTGGTAATGGGCATCTGTTGGGAGTCTGACATTGAAGTGGACAAAAGCCCCTCGCCTCTTTATTTTGGGATTAATGTGATCCACAGGTGCCCCTGGCCTATCCGCTCACTGTCCATTACCCAGAGACTCATGACCAATTAAAGTCCTCCATGCAAATTATTCCTCACAACATCTGAAGGGGGTGAGCATCTGGCTGAGTTCAGTGTTTATTACTAAGATCCAGAAGTTGTGGCCCAAGAGGTATATGCCTGGAAGTGAGACAGGCTGCTTTTCCTCAAAGTCAACATAATTACAATAGACGAATTTAGGTATTTACTTAATTAAGTCATAGGTACGATAGCCTTTTAAATAAGAGCATGGGAATTAAAATGTAAAGCTATACTTAATAATGACTACATAGTTTATAGTGTACAGTCTGGGTCTTTGGAATATTTATGCTTTATATTCTTTGTATACATTACACTTTCCTTCAGCGGGTCCATGTGTATTAGTCAAAACACAGAAAAATAAAAAACTCAAGTGCCTTCAAGGGCTACTCAGCCAACAGGAATGAGGGGGGAAATGTTACAAGAACAACAGAGGGTTTACACTCTCCAAAGAAAGTCAAACCTCCCTCCCCACCATACACGGTGTCTGAGGACATCAGTATGGGGCTCCTGGATGAAGCCAACTGTGATTTTCTGTAGGTCAAAGATGTCTTATTTAATTTCAGGATTGCACAGTAGTATAATGTTTTTTCATTTATTTAACATGTATTCAGTAAAGCTATATACCAAAGATACAAGATGAAAAAGACAATATAATTGCTTCAAGAACGCTGGTCTAATAGGGAGAACAGACCAATAATGAGACAATTACATGATAATGTGATAAATGTTCTATTCAAGCTCTGTGCTGTACTGTTAGATGCTACTAGGAAACGTGCCTATTTGCACAGACCATAGGATGGCTGGGGGCTGGAGTAGAGGCACTTAGTATATTCTGTTGAATGACTGACGGGATGACCAGTACAGTGATTCCAAAATAAGTTGATTATCAAAGGCTCTGGGGGGAACTTGATATAAATACAGAGTACTGGGCCCAACCCCAGACCTACAGATTGAAATCACCAGGGAAGCAGCCCAGTGACCTGTGGTATCTAGAATTTTCTATATGATGGAGGCATGGGGATCTCTCTTGTTCTGTTTTCACATAACTGTCACCAGGAGAACTGAGTGCCCGCAGCAAGAGTGGGATCTTGTGGGGGAAACAGGTGGACAGAGCCTTCTAGGCACCCAAATGTATATAAATGCTCCTGCATGCAGGCCGGATCATCTAAAGCAGCAGGGTCCAGGAGCCCGATTAACTACATTCGGGAGTAAGACCTGTCCATAGTGGCTCTGTTATTGATCCTGGCTGTGGGGTTTGCCTGCTGTATCATTTAAAGATTCTCAGGTGTGGGGCACCTGGCTGGCTTAGTCAGTAGAGCATGCCACTCTTGATCTCAGGTTGTGAGTTCGAGCCCCATGTTGGGTATAGAGATTACTTAAAAATTAAATCTTTTAAAAAGTGAATAAATACAGATTCTCAAAGGAACAGAGTCTCCTAGCCTACCTCCCCAGCACTTTACTTCTCCACTCTTGCTCCTACAAGGCTCTGAGCTTCCTGAAACCAGGGACAGTCTCTTATTGGATCTCTATGCTGTGTGTTCTAAAAGCATCTCTATTCTGTAAGGATAGAACTTGCCGATGTTTGCTGAATGAATGAATGATTGACTCTGTTTGAAATTTCATTTAAAAAGGCATCTCAATTTCCTTTTGCCTTTTTTGCTGTTGTAGAAGCAAGCAAATTGAGAAACTAGAAGTAGATCCTAGCAAGCATTCCTTCCCTGATGTGGCTAACATAGTTCAAGAGAAAAAACACAGGCCTCGAAGAGTTCAGTCTGAACCCAAAATTACAGCAAGTGAGGAAGATCCCGACTTTGAAGATAACCCTGAAGTGCCTCCATTGATTTGAAACATCAGGCTGCATCGATGGACCCACCAGACCCAGTTCTGTTCATTGCAGAGTGTGCGCAGACCATTTATGGTAAACACAGAGTTATTTATCAATATTACTACTCCAGTGTTTTAGCTTCTACTTTATACAGTAATATTCTTAAACTAGTTTAAAATTCAAATGTACACCTTAAAATGCTATAACTCATTTGTCTATAATAAAATGCTCCTAGTGCAAATGTTCTGTAAATCAAAGAACTATTACATTAAGATGTTGATTTTCAATCATAGGACTGGCTGCTAATGCAGACAGATGAAGTCAGAGATAAAAGGCCTGATTATTAAATTGGTACTTCAGCAAATTGGTCAAGCTCAGAAGTTAAAACTGTAATTTCAGATCGAATTGGAATGCTTTAATATGATTTTAGCAGTGTTTCAATTTTCTTCTCATGATTATTGGTGGTAATACCTTGGAATGATGAAGAGGAGAGCGAGCAGGGGTAGGAAGGGAGAACCTCTAAGGCTGTAGATAGAGGCCTGACATCCGCAAAATGAGGGGAAGGAGGTGGAGGGAGGCGGATGGAGGATGGGCTAAATGGAGCCTTAGGAGACAGCGCGGCCCTGAGAGCACTCCAGCCAGCCCAGCGGGAGCCCTAGCATAGGGTTGTCCACAGAAGACGAGCCTCTTGGGTCAAGATGACCGAGGCCAGCTACCCCTGCCATATTCAGGTCTTGGCCGGTGGCTCCCTGCCCTGACAGTGGTGGCCAGGGCGGGAGGCTTTTGGTGCTCTGTACTCCTTGTGTGGGTTCTCTCTTGGGGAGAGCTGAGCTGGGCACCTCTGTCGTGCCACCAGGAGGTTACAGAAGCTCCGCCAGCCTTGAGGAGGCTGTCCTGAGGGCTTATGGGAAAGAAGAAAGTGCTCTTCAGTGCTGGGGGAAAGGAGACCCCTGGACATCAAGGAGGAAAGGTTAGCAGAGCTGTTGCCTGGGGTCACATGGAAACATTGTAATGTACCTCCTGCCTGAGTAGGTGTAGGGAAAGAGATTTCCAAGGAGAATGCCAGAGGACCACTAGTGCTTTTAGCTCCAAATCAAAAGACACAAATAATTGGTCCATTTTCAAGCAGCATTTAGAGAAAATATAAAGGAACTAAACTGGCTAGGTTCAAAAATAAAACTTTTTCATCCCAGTCTCTCCCAACTGAAATAAAAAACAGCCTCCCCCTGACTGTGAAACACATTGTTGTTTTGGGTCTCCCAGGAACTACCAGCAGTTTAGAATTGGTGTCTAGTAACCCCTGAAAACTCTGTTTATCAATGTACAGTCATCCAGGGTAAGTGCAGGCCTCTTTACAGAAGCCTAGGAGGAAGATTTACAGGATAAAATCTGGGCAGTGTACCAGGGATCTCCAACGAGGTCCAACCATGAGGTAGTGAGCCATGTGCATACCTGGGGGAAGAGTGTCCTAAAAACTGAGAACAGCATGTGCAAAGGCCCTGAGGTAGCACATGGTTTCAGGAACAGCCAGTAAGCCAGGGTGACTGGAGCAGGCTGAGCAGGGCAGAGTATCAGAGAAGGGGTGGGAGAGCTCATGGAGAGGCGGCCCTGACAATGCTTGATCTAAAAAGGCAAGCCTACCACTGGGCAATCATATTGCTCCCAAAAGAGTGTCTTTGGATTTTGTAGCACTTTTTTTTTTTTTTTTTCCAAATATTTTCTTATACCCATCTCATTTTTGATCTTAGGAGAAATCCTCTCAACTAAGCATTTGGTCATTTTTCATTCAGTAGGAGTGTGCCTACCGTGGACCAAGTGCAGAGAGTATAATGGTGAACCCAAAGCAACATCTCTTGGGTTTCACTGAGCTTATATTTTTGTGACGCAAACAAATGTGGATCAATTATACTAGCAAACTGAGCTAACTTTTCTGAACCCACTGTCATGTTTTACAACTGAGACTCCCAAAGATCAGGTGGCTTGCCCTAAGATAGCACAACAAGATGTTAGAATGAGATTCTCATTAAGTCATTTTTGACTGGGTTTCTAATATGAAAGATTTTTACCTACCAAAGTGAATGAGATGGTTCACATGACAATGTTTTCAAAGGAAATGCACGAACTTACTTCATAAATCTTAAAAAGACTCACTCCCTTTGGAAATATGAAAAGTATGAGGGTAGAGGGGCTTTGTGGGGGATGATGTCTTTGGGGGTGAAGATGGATGAACACATGTCTTTGGAGAGAGCTGTTACCTTTCTGTGAGCTCCACCTCCGATTCGGGGCTCTTCCTCTGTAGCCCAAGCTTAGTGAGAGGGCCTTCAAAGCCTTGAACCAGGGAGTTTTGGAGAGTTTCCTGAAGTTTGGGGACACACAGGCTGGTGCTTGACTCATGCCTGAGAAACCTGAAACTGAAGGTGGGCCAGAGTCCCATCCTGCTAGGGGAATCATCCATGGGACCAGAGAAAAGCTGTGCCAGAGGAGCGGAGAGTGTGGCCCCCTCCCACAGCTGGCTGGGGACAGGGAAGCATGAGACTTTTCCAAGGACTAGATGTGGGTTGTCGTGGGCTCTGTCCATGTGGGCCGTCTGCAGGGGTGAGGAGCCCAGGGAGGAGCTGGAGGCGTGCCACTGCACACGGGGCTGAGGAAGGAAGCTCAGAGGACTGCCCAGGACCAGGAACATAGCTGAGGGGCAAACGGGGAGCCTCTGAAGAGTCCATGAAAGGGCCTCACGAAGGAGAATAGTCAGCTTCGTTTGTCCTCTAGGCTAGCAGAGCAAGAAGCCTGGCCAAGCCAAGTGAGGACCACCTTACCTGTACCAGTCAAGGTCCTGGCAGTTCCTAGCCTTGGACTTGAATGGGTAAAGAGAGAGAGTGGTCACCCAGACCCCGAGAGACAACTGAAGACAGTAGATAGCCAGCAGGAACTGGGACCTTCTTCCGGGGATGCAGCCCACAGGGACGAGCTGGGGGAATAAACCTCATGACCTTAATTTCCTCCTCCCTCCAATCTCTTGCTAGAGTTTCCCCCTGGCCAAACCTGACCAGAAGCCGGGGGCAAGGGACCCTGTCCGTGTGGCCATCAGAGGTCATGCTCCCAGGGTCCACAGCATGGTAGAAGGTGGCAATGGATGGAGTGCACACACTCCCCCTCACCTCTCTCCCCTCACCTGCCCCTGCCCTCCTGACTCCAGGGTGGCCCAGGGCAGGGGAGGGAGAGGAGTGGAGACGGTTAAGGCCAGGGTGGTGACTTTACTGAGCAGAGACTGGGAGCACTGAAGGGCCTCTATTCCCCAAGAGTGGGAGGAGACGTCCGTAGGACCTGCCTACATCTTCATTCGGGGCAGGGCCACCCTGTTGAAGAAAGGCGAAAGGAAGCATGGGAGACACAAATACGTTGTTTTAATCACTTGCTGCAAGGTGAGCATTCAGCGTTCCGTTTATGCGAATAATACCCTGCTTCCAGAATCCGGTGCTCTGGCTGCTCTCTGTGGGTCCTCCCTGCGCCATCCTCCTTACTTCTGCTTTGGCCCATTTCTTGCTTCCAGAAGGCTCATTGCTTCTGCGCCCACACCAGCACCTCCAGGGGCAGGAGAGGCCCCAGGAGAGAGAAAAATCTCACTGATGTGATGCCGGCTTCGGGTCCTGTTGCCCAGATGCCCTCAGGTCCACAAACTTTTCCTCCTGCTTCTCTGTAGGTGGTGTTGAGCAGCGACAACTGTCCTTTCTCCACCATCATGTCCCCTCGTGTCCCACACAGCTGTTTCCATCTCTGCATCCCGCTCCTGGCAGTGGGACCCTCGCGTGTGAGTGGCCTGTGAACGACATGAGACCACTGACCGTGGCAGTCACAGGGACGGGGCGGGGAGTGCTGCTCTAGCTCCAGGGCCTGGGTTGCAGTGCCCCCCTTCCCCCCCACCCCCCCCGTCCCCACAGAGCAAGCCTGCCCTCCGCCTGACAGCAGGGGCCGCGCCACGCAGTGCATGTCTGTCACCATTTGCAGTCTGTCACAGCTTGCCTGACACATTTGGGTGGAAAGTGCTAGCCGTCTCCAGTTGATGCCTGTCAGGCCAACGTGTCTGACACTCCTGGAGCAGACCTCAGCCAAAAGTAGCTGTTCTTTTCCAAATTCACTCCCTAACTTTTGCTCCTCCAGTTTGGTCTGGTGTTTTCCCTGTGTGAGAGATAAACTTCCATTGGCCCTGCGGCTGGGTCTCTTCACCCGGCAAGCATTTCCTGAGCACCTGCTGGGTGCCCGGAGCCATATCAGGTGCTAGGGCAAGTTGTCTTCTGAGAGCCCACCCTCCCAGTTCTTGCCCTCTGTCCGTAACTGCCTCCTCCATCCTTCACATACGGCCGCCCCCCAGGGTGAGGCCTTCGGCCCCATGCTCTTCTCCGTGGGTACACTTCCCCTTCCGGGGACACTTGGGCCCATTCCTGGGGCTCCTGCTGCCAGCTCTTGGCTGATGCCCCCTGCAATCCCCGTTTCAGGCCTTTGATGCTTTCCTAAAGTTCACCTGACTCCTCCTGGTCCAACGCCTAGGTCATCCATCAACTTCTCTCTTCTTTTCCTGCCCCTGCACCTTATTCTGCCTCCTGTCCTCTGGCTCTTGTTTTCCGCCTTCACTTTCCATTCCCGCATATTGGAAAACACCGTCACTGCTTCCTGTGCTCAGCATTCATTTGGTAACGAAATCCTGGCTGTTCTACCTCACGAAAAGCTTCTCCTGTCTCCTTTAAACCCATTTCCACTGCTTGCATTCAATCTCCCATCACCCACTTGTCAACATGACCGCTACCTCACCCCTCCTCGACCTAAACACCCCCTTGGACTGTTGCCCAGAGGACAAGATCTGGACCCCATCCTGCTGTGAGGCCACATCTCCCACCACTTGCCCCTGAGCCCCACCCTACCCATGACACCAGAGTTATCACCATTCACGGGAGCCGTGTGGGGGTTACCCATGCACAGACGCTCTGTCGGCGGTGTCACTGAGCTGAGGCTGGTGACGCGCTGGATCTGAGGGCTCATGTGAGCCCTCTCAGGGTTGGATGGGAGCAGGGTGATGTTGCCAAGGCCCTGGGACAGAGTGGAGGCCCTGCTGGTGAGGGGGGGAAGGCAGGACCAAGCACACAGCATCTCTTCCTTCACAGGAGCCTCAGTTGGGGCCCATTTCAGAGAGAAATTAAGACCAACTTGACAGGCCATCATCTTGCATCAGCTGCTCTGGGAAAGTGCACC